GTGAACTTTTGTTGAAGGAGCTCACCTTGCAGATTTGGTTTTATGGTTTATTTTACTTTGAGATTTGTCTCTCTTGTGGATTTGCCGAATTTGCACCTATTACCAGCATATAAAGTTATTTGTGTTTCTTTATCTCAGTATGAAATCATTATATTTTATGTTTTAATTTTATGGACATTTTCTGCTGGTGCAAAAATGACAGAAAAAAAAGCCACTTAATTACCACTGCAATTTTGCCTCTGCATGGTTTTCTTGTTGTATTCTTGGCTAAGAAGCGAGCTTATTTCATCAAAAGTTTTCACTGATCAGATTGAGGCAATAACATTTCCTCTGTTTAAAATCGTGCCATAAAAACTATTGTTTGCAAGCCACAGAAATGCGTAATACATTTAGGTGTCAATGAGTTGCCATTCCTTCCCCCCTGTTGTATAAATTCAGGTTACTGCAACTCGAGAAATCTGTAGTCCTACATTTTAGTTGTCAGGCTGGTTAAATTTAGGTGGTTCAGTATTTGTACAAACCTGCATGTGAATGCATCTCATTTGAAACTGTAATGTTCAGTTCACTAACTGGTGCTGCTTATGGTACTAATGTTAAAGTTATACCTTTTCGGGAAGATGGACTGCATTTAAATTCACTGATTTCACTTTCAGTACTTACAGTAACTGTGATTTTTTTTTACTTTGCTACTCCAGCAGGAGTTTAACAATGGACTTACGAAAGGGCCAGAGGTCTGCCGCATTTAATTGCAATATAAAGACTTTAAAAAAAATATCCACAAAATCAGGTGTTGCTCTTGGATAGTACGACAACAGAAATACATAATAATGAATATGGGTTCGCAAGTGGCTACAAAATAATTGTCGTTTTTTTGTTGTTTTATCAATTCATTTCATCTATATTCTAGTGACAATATTTACTTGTCTTACCACAAAAGATTAGAGCTGTGAAAGATACCCAAGGTAGGTCATTGTGCAGAGTGAATGTCACAATATTGTTGTGCAGATGAAAGTACTGCATGTTCTCAGAGGATACTGACAAAGACGTGCATATAGTGTGTCACAAGTGCAAGATTTTTATATGATTTTAAATGTATTCCTTCACAGCAGCTCATGAAAAATATTTTATACAATGTGTCAAAAGTTATATTTAGAAAAGTGTATGACCAACACAAAGAGAGAAACAGGTACTGCAATGTGGACGGCCAGCGAACACAAAATTGGGTGTATTTTAATTTGGAATGAGGAGTTTAAGTAAAATATTCGATTAAACTCAATCAATGCAGATTGTAAACAGCTATGAGGATGGGAATAATGAAAAGAAAATCATGTCCTTACCTCATGTGGCGCTGCAATGAATCATAGCACAGAAAAATGAAAACCTAAGCGCAAACTGCCCTTTGAAAAAAGTGCTCAACCATTGCTTAAATGCATTGTTGAAATCCACCTCACACTGGCTTGTTTTCATCTAGAATAATTCCTACAGTACTATGAGATTGCAGATAAATACCTTTGCAGTCCACACACTCTTTAACAAACACAATGCATGACTGTACATTAACTGTGCGACCAGTCAGAAGCCACAGTCTCCCATAGACCTGTCACGTTAATTCTCTTCACTTCAACACTTGCACAGGGAGAAAAGGGGTGAATTGCAATCACTTGACGCTGCTTGATTCAAACCACATTGCTCATTTATTTGTATGCAGTTGGGTTTGGATTTCTCTAAGGAATGCGTGGTAAAAAACACAGCTCAGGTTTGTAAAAGCCCACAGTGTGTCTGATGTATCATAAACTGGAGCTCCTTTCAGTCCACCCCAAAACACTTTGAGCAACGTGTTTGATGTTGCTGGTATTTGTTTTGTTTCACAAAATCACATTTTGCACCTTTTAATCTGTACCACAGCACAAGTAACTGTAGAAATGGGGTTTGAGGTCTGTTCAAGACACATGGTTTTAATCTAATGGACTTCCTCTGTTTTAAATGGTAATAATTTCTGATTCCACTATCTCAGAGAACGACTCATTTGTCCAGGAATTTTCTGAATGGACTGAAATGCCTCCTAGATGATGACAAATTAGAAGGGCTTTTTAAACCATGAGAAATCAAAATCACCTGAGTTCAACTGTAAGATAAAAAGAACAGATGATCTTGTTGCTGAAGTACTTCTCAGTATTTACAATAAAAGTTTGATGGAGGTTTTTTTTCTTATGTACAATCACTCAAATGATTGTGTGGTCAGTCCATCACGATGCTCTACTGATGACAACATACTCACACATACAGTATATTTACATGTTCTTGCCTCTCATTGTTAATCCTACAACATAACATTACATGTCAATGTTTTTTCCTTTGGCACATTGTAATCTGTAATCACACTTCTGTAGTCTCTGTAGCCTCATGCTGTAAATTCTACATCCGTCTCCTGAGCGATGGTTTGACAAGCTTCCTGATGAAACGCTACACACATACCTGTCAAAGCATTGCTTTGTGTTCATACTATGAATTGTAAATGTTGTTTAGTTGTCACCATTGCCAAGACTTTTTTTGCAATGTTGTTTTACAATGCGTACTAATATATTATGGTTATTATATATGAATATATTTAATGACACAAGACATTGTGGATTTTATTGTCTTTTTCAACTTTTTTTTTTTAAATTTTTTTTTTTACTTGTTTGTGGTTGTTTAGATCGTTGCCATTAAAGAAGGAAATAATAACTACTGAACACACCAACCTGGTAGAACTAAATTCAGATTTTCAGTTGAAATAAACTCTTGTTACATTGAAAAACTATTTGCCTCTGTTGATTTGAATCATTCTTGTTTATTTATTTAGTTGTTAAAGCTGGGATAGGCAGTTTATTTTAGGTGTCACTGGGCAAAAATCCCATTATAAACTTTGAGTGTATGGTAGTTCTTGGTCTGAGAGAACACTAGAGCTCTGCACCTCCTGCTCTGTTTTCAGGCATTAGAAAATCTGGGCCATGAGGAGACACTTTGGCCAATCACGGGTCATTTCAGAGAGAGAGAGGGCGTTCCTATTGGCTGTTCTGCAAATGTGGATACGTGTGCACGTACCTTTGGGTGAAAGCCTGATTCAATTCAAAGAATCCTGCAGAGAAAGTTGCTATTCCAGTATTGCCACCATCTGCCTACATTGCAAAGCAACCCCAAAGAAAGGAAGACGGACTTATCGAAAAGAGAGTCTACAAGAAAGTCTGACAGTAAATCACATAAAACACATGTAAATATTGGCACAGCATTTCAGAAATGGAGAGAAAATATTTTAGCCTTCTAGTTACCAGAGCCAAAGGCTCACGGCTGCAGCTTCAAGTTCACGTTTATGTAATAAATGGTAGCTAGAGCCTCGAATCACAGTGTGTCCTCCGCCTCACTCCCCGCCGCAACCGACTACCTAGTCTCTTACACAGATGCCGATGACATCAGCACGCTGGCTGACTCTGTCCTCTGTGGACATTCCCATAGGAAAGTTGTAATAGAACTAGCGCTGGCTCCCAGCGGCAGTGATGTGATTGGATCCACATCCGTGTACTTCCATACTTCCTCGACCAACAGCTAATTAGCTTTGCCTTACACCCGCCTACACCGGAATTGCTGTTCCCCGAATTATTGTCCGTAGTACAACAAAAAATATCCGGTGCTTATTTTTCAATGACAGGAACGACTCTGAACAAACCTGACAAATATCCACAAGTTTCTTCGGTGTAGTAGCCTGAGCCATGACTGACTGCATTACGAATCTACATCACAGTACTACGCACTGGTAATCTGCTCTCTGTGTTTCTGGTACATCTCTGTTACATGTAACACACGTGCTGTACCTATGGCAATGCCGTCACGTGGTCTGGATATCCCCGCCCATTTCTATTACAAAACGAAAGATGAATGTCCCCAGACTCCCATTCCGAAGTAAGGGAGGCTGGTCACGCGAGACTACTGCCTACCTTGCCAGAAGGAGAACTGGCAGCAGCTGTGAAGACAGGCTCCCAGTCAGTTGCAGTAGGAACATGTATCTCGCCAGCACAAACCCCAGTTCAAGGGTACCAGACAACCTTGACTCCCAGCCCAAACAACAAACTTTGTGTTGCTGCTGTTACACAGGTTAAACCCCACCACCGGCCCGCTATGACACCCAGTGCTGTGGGGTTTGCGCCAGCTAAATTCAAGATGCTTCAGCTGCAGACCAAAGGTCCGTCTTGCTGCCCACTCTCCTCCCCAGGCAAGCAGTCCACAGCAGTGGGGAACGAGGCGGAAGGACAACGGGGTGGCTAGCTAGCTAACTGTTGTCTCATTTGTGGTCTGATAAAGAGAGAGAGCGGGGTAAAGAGGGAAAACACTGGTTTACTGTATGAAGCATATGCATATGTCCGTGGTCATCTGGTGGGAGGAGCTTGGGACAGAGAGGGGAGAGCTGCAGGAGTGGGTTGTATTTTCAAATTCTGCCATTTTTATGCCTTTTCCAGACACCTGCCTACCCTGCTATTAAATAGAAACAGACAACCCCCCCCCCTAGCATTTCAAGTGTTATTATTGACACTGCTGCTTTCTGATAGCTTTCTGAACAAAAAACACAGTTTCAACAGTTACATTTATTGTTCTACGTCCCAGAGATAGTAACAGCACAGATACTCTTGAGCAACTAGGAAAAAATTGACCTTGTATTTTTGTGAGGAGATTTTGTCCGGTGGCAGACAGGCTTGCATAGTGAAAGCGAGGCTTACAGGGAAAAGTCAAATGCCATCGCTTTGTGCAATCAAAATTAACTTCATAATGACAAGTTAAAGCAAAAACTTGTCCATTTCCACTTTAAGTTAAGGCACGTAGTCAGCTTTTCTAAAAGTACAGTAGACAAAACACCACTATGCAAATTTCTCAATGGAAATATTCTACTGGTACTACTGTGTCCAGATAAATATCATGTTACAAAACACTGCAATCTTCCGGAGTACGCTCTAAGCAGACCGGAGTCCAGGGACTATTAACTGGAAATGTCATTTATTAGAAATTACAAGCTGAATTGTTTTACAAGGAAGGAAAACAGCCATGTTAGTTACACAGCCGAGCTGTTTGTTTTGGCTGCGAGCTGTTCTACAAACGTTATAAAATCCCAAGACAAATGATAACATTACAGCTGCTACAGTAATGCATGGGTAAATATAAGTGAGTGTGAATATTGCAAAGCTCGCGGAATTACCGTACCCAGTGTGAGCCTGAGCCCAGACCACAGACAGACTTATGAGAGGAAAAGCTCCTGCTACCTGCAGGAGGTCCTACTGTTGGGTCAACATTCATCTCAGTCCAGGCTAAAAATATTTTCAAAAGGCTAACAAACCTCCAAATAATTTAGTTATTTGATACGTTGTGAATTTAACGAGCCAGACACTTGAACAACTGTTAAAGAGTACAATTCACACCTAGGCAATATATTCTATTAAAAAAACAAACCTTTTGTATGGTTACTAATGCCTTTCACCCAACCAATAGACTTACTGTATACAAAAATGTAATTGTGCTGCTAAAGGACTTAAGTCTTCATTTCACAGTGGCTTGGTTGGACAGCCACATTTGTCTCAATATGAAGACAAAGAATAATAAAATTTGATGGGAGACAATGTTTAAATGACTGTACATGTGTGCACTGCGGATGCATAAAGTTTCAAACTGGTAATCTGCACCAAACTGTCATTGTTGAAGTCATTCAGCATAGGTCCATGATTACTTCTGTCTTCGTCAACTACACAGGCCACACGGCGACCACTATGATGGCTATGAGAAGCAGCACGATCACCACCAGCATCCCTGAAGGAGAAAAAGTGGGAGAAAAGGAAATCAACTTTTTATGTCAACAAATTCCATGAGAAGACAAAAAACAACACTGCATTGATTCTACTAACAAAGTCTGTGCATCAAAAGCCTGATACATCCTCCTCCTCTGTGCCATAGCTTTGCATTGTTTTGGAAACACTATTAAAATAGTCAAAAAGCTCATCAATTTGAACATGGCCACTGTAGTTAATTTTGAGTCTACAACCACTATAATGCATTTTCGTTTTTAGAACTTGTATCTATTGCCCCTAAAACAGAGACCTTTGAAACGCTGCTGACTCTGTTTAAAGGGAAATTTCGGTTTATTTCAACCCATCTCCTATCGTCCTAAATTTGTTTCAAGTCACTAGTGACATAGAAGTAATAGTTAGCATGTTAGCCGTTAGCCTAGATACAGCCGTAGCGTCAGACCTGTTAAAACGTAATTGAACGGGCATCCCTTCAAGTGCAAAATTAGTCCACTAAATAAGCTTTTTCTCAACAAAGACCGCCTCATATCGTTAGGATAAATGTCAGAGAACATATAGAAAACGACATGTAAACGTGTTGTCTTACCTTACCAGTGTGGTGCCATGTTTGTTGTTTACCATTTAGCTAAGGCTGCAACCGGTCCCATTCCTTGCAACAGAGGCATTCCTCTTCTGTGGGCACTGGGGTACAGCATTCACAGGTACACCACCAATCTCCAGAGCTAAATCCTTCCAGCAGCCATTCCTCCTCTGTCGTCCTCTAACGTTACCTGTTGTGCCTCTCTCTCTCTCCTCCTCCGTTCTTCAATTTCACGAAGCTCTTCGTCAATGTATTCTGGCTCAAATAAGGGCGGCCATCAAACTCTGCAAAATCAAATTCCTCCTCCACAAAGTCGAAGTCTGGCAAAAAGTCAGCTATTATTCTATAAATCTTTCATAAAATAAATGAATGAACCTTTCAGGCTACTGTCCGGTTCTGCCTTGCAGCTGCTGCGGCTTGTTCTCGCGATATTTCAGGCACGGTATGAGGTCGCTGCTTGTTCTCGCGATATTTCGGCCGCGCTTTGGGAAGCAGAGGTAAAAGGTAAATACACCGTAAGGTAAGACAACTCTGAAGACCACCTAAATGTGGAATGTTAGTATATAGGCTTTACACATCGAGAGGCGATGGCCGCCCTTATTTATTTGAGCCAGAATACACTGACGAAGAGCTTTGTGAAATTGAAGAACGGAGGAGGAGAGAGAGAGAGAGGCACAACAGGTAACGTTAGAGGACGACAGAGGAGGAATGGCTGCTGGAAGGCTTTAGCTCTGGAGACTGGTGGTGTAACGTTACCTGTGAATGCTGTACCCCAATGCCCACAGAAGAGGAATACCTCTGTTGCAAGGAATGGGACCAGTTGCAGCCTTAGCTAAATGGTAAACAACAAACATGGCACCACATCGGTAAGGTAAGACAACACGTTTACATGTTGTTTTCTATATGTTCTCTGACATTTATCCTAACGATATGGAGAAAAAGCTTGTTTAGTGGATTAACTTTGCACTTGAAAGGATGCCCGTCCAATTACGTTTAAACAGGTCTGACGCTACGGCTGTATCTAGGCTAACGGCTAACATGCTTACTATTATTTCTATGTCACTAGTGACTTGAAACAAATTTAGGACGATAGGAGACAGGTTGAAATAAACTGAAATTTCCCTTTAATTTAAAAACCTTGGAGTTGTGTTTTAGTCTGGACGGGTGAAAGCAGAGACCTTTGGAAACAATAATGCAGACACCAACATTTGCGTCCAAATTAAGTCTTATCAATTACAGCTTGTCAAGTCAAAAACTGTGGCTTAATGCACATGACTTCTGTGATTTCATCCCTCTTGTGTCGGAACTCATTTCTCACTGCCATGGCTTCCTCCAGTGATGAATAATGCTTCTGGCACCACTCTAATATGTTGTCGTATTTTTTTGTAACAACACCTAGTATTTTCTAGAACTAAGCAACCAACTGCAGAGTAGACAATCTATTTCCTGTTTTCAGCATGTTAGCATGGATGAAGATTATTTCAGAAATGATGCTAAAACACTCTGGTGTACGGAGGTTGTTTGAAATGTATTAGTCTGTATGTGGTCTGAGTTGATCTCAAAAATGTTTCTGACACACAAGCCTACCAAATGTGTGTTAATCTGCAGCTGAAAATAGTTCCTAAACAAATGCACAGCTTACTCCAAACAGAGAAGTTTACTGGCCATTTATAAAAAAACATAAAATAATATAAATGATACAATTTTAACATCTTTAGCAGAAACAAACTGACTTGGAGCTGAGGGCCACAGGGAGAGTATGGAGGGAGGGATGGACTAATGCATTGCTGGTTTTGGTCTTTTAATGTGATTTTCTGAAATTAAGATGAAATTAGAATAATGCCAGAGTTGTCCTTTAAAGACTTCATTAACTAGATGTCCCACTGCATAACACAATGTCATCATGCCAACTTAGCGAACTGATCTGCAATCTTTTTAGAACAAACTCTCTCTGATTTGAGCACTTTGTTCACTATTTTATGTGCTATTTTTATTTATTTAGCATTCTATACATTTCTGTCCATAGGTGTGGGTAAAAATTTGATCACTGTTCAAAATATATATGCACGAAAAAAGAGAAACTAGAATGTGAAACTGTTAAGTTGCAAAAACAAGGATGCCTCACACATATCTCCTCCCTGGCAGCACAATGGACCCATACAATCAGCGCAGTTTCAAGGTGAACACCAAAGATAAGTGTCACCAATTCAGTATCTGACCAAATGTCTCCCCTTCTGTTCCTGAGACATGATGTTGAGTAATGGCCAAAGAAGTGTTTTTGCAGAAAATCATGAAGTCACAATGATGGTGACCTTTGACCTTTTGGACATAAAATGTCATCACCTCATTATTTTATCCTAACAGACATTTGGGTGAAATTTTGTCACAATCAGTACATGAATTCTTGTGTTATGGCCAAACATGTTTTGTGAGGTAACAGTGACCTTGACCTTTGACCCCCAAATTCTAATAAGCTTCTTCTTGAGTTCAAGTGGGTGTGTGTACTAAATTTGAAGAAATTCCCTCAAGATGTTTTTGAGATATTGCATTCATGAAAATTAGACAGATGCAAGGTCACAGTGACCTTGACCTTTGACCACCAAAATCTAACTAGTTCATTCTCAAGCCCCGGTGAACATTTGTGCAAAATGTAAAAAAAATCCTCAAGGCATTCTTGAGATTTCGTATTCACAATTATGGGATAGAGGTATGGGGACAGACAACCCAAAAACATAAAGCCTCCAGCCATGGCTATCACTGGTGCGGAGGCATAAAAACAAATGGAATTTTAAAATAAGGTTCAGCTTTATTGGGCTATAAGTAAATCTTAAAGTGGCCCAAGCTTTGGTTTGAAATCTTCGCCTCTAATAAGCTGTGATTTTTTTACCCACAACCTGGTGACTGTGACATTTGCAGTTTGAAAAGAAGACTTCTGGTACTAAGTGGTTAGACAATCTTATTATTAAAATGAGGCCTGTATTTAATCCTAAAATGTTTTTTTCTTATTTGTACTTTGCTGTAGCTCTTTGTGATAAAACCTTTGCAGTTCAACAAATTTCCTCTGACTTTAATGTTGCAAATTCAAATGTCAAGCAGCTGAGAAACTCCTGACCTGATCTGAGACAGACTCACAGAGAAGGAGGGGAATGCAGCAGACTCAAGGGAATACACTTGGAAGAGGTAAGAAGCCTTCATACCTCACCACTAATTTTCAAAATCCTTGATCTAATGCAAGTCCCAAGTGCTTATGCCCTCGCAGCGTATCACCATTTTTCTCTTGATGACTTAATGCAATTTACATGCGTTCAACAGCCACAAAAGCTTTATTGCCACAGATTGCACACTGTGATAGGCATATGTTTCTGATTCTGCCTTGAGAGGATAATCATTGTTTTTCACTGATACCATGGAAGCAGAGAAAAACGTGCAAAAGCTCACTCACACTTCATCAAAGAGCTTTACCCCCAGGAACTGAAAATATTACACTTTTTATTATAGTCACCACCCAAGGAAAAAAAAACTTTCTGTTGTAAAATCCACTACAGGTGGAATTTCCATTATTTATAAAAAAGATGAATATCTTTTGGGAAACTTAACAATCAAATTTTATTGAATGTTACCAACTTAAAAGTGAAGCCAGAGTCCAACCGATAAAATTGCTGAGCCGCTATTTTGGCCGATATTAGTTTATCGCAGATATTCAGTGTAAACTGCTTATAGTTATCAGTCTGTCTGGGTCAAATGAATCACTATAAGCGGATCACTATTATAACCATTTTTTCTTCTTTTTATTTCGCATGCAGATTACCATCTAACTGACATGTGTGTATTTATTACATTAATAAAAAGTAATGAAACAGACAGCTTTGCTATTTACTGAATTTTATTGACTGACTCAAAATACAGTACAGCTGTTTCATTACAAGGGCATTACGTGACCAACTGCTTTATCAATTCACTTGACGAGGGCAGGTCCAACCACAACTGCTTTCCCCGCTCACATTTCTTGTCTGTTTACGTCACGAGCAGCCAAAACTGTTTCTCCCACGTTTGAATAGAGTACACAATGTAGTCTGAGAACACCAGGTTTCACTGATATAGCTTATTGGCTTAATTTTGGCTTAGTTTGTCATTAGCTTCGAAGAGACTAAGTTAAGAGAAAATTACTTTCCTTTTCCCGTCATGATTTTAAAGCCTCAGGTAGGCAGCTGGAAGCAGACGAGTTACTGCGAGGCAAAGTAACTTATCATGGGAGTAAAGTTAAAAAAAACAATAGAATTACCATGATTTTCAGTTGTTTTTCCATATGTATGAAAAAGACCCCAAAAGGAACACTGTAAGCCAACTAATTGAAAACTATAAGCAAATTATTTAATAGGCATTTGTATCAGAATGATTTTGCCCCAAGCCTTTTGATCTATATA